GTTTGAAAGGAAATGATGTCACTTTGAAGGCATGTTAAGTAACAACAGTTTACTGTGGTGTTGATCATTTTAAAGCACTTTAATCCAGAATTGTCATCACACTAAAGTAAAGCCAGAAGAAGAGTAGCAACAAGGCCATAAATGTGAATGAACACTGAGGAGCCTCTAGGTCTCCAGTGAGTTCTCTGAGAATATCAAAGTGCTACTTTCTTGCAGCATTTCTTTGATGCTCCCTGCAGACTGATCCCCTTCCTGAACACAGAGCCTTGCTGCTCCACAGTCTTTGATACGAGACAGGACGGTCACATAGAGTTTTTCTGGACAGTCCTCCAGGATTAGAGACCAAACTTCTGAGGGCAGGAGTGCTGCTGAGGCTGCAGCTCACCTCCCCCTCCTCCCCTCTGGCTGCTTAAAGTGCAAGGGATGATTATAAAAAAGTAAAACACTGTATTATAAAACTTTCTATTTGAATAGTTATTTGATTCGTTATTCTGACACCCACTCTGCAGAATCCCTGGACGTGATCTTACAAATGCAGAGTTTTGTTTTTCTCCTCTGTTGGTGCTGCACCATCTAATGAGTTTGGAGACACCCTGCAGCGATGCACCCACCCACATCTTTAGAAATTAAAATGATATTTGCATAGCTCCTCAAACAGTCATCACACTGAACAAACACTCACATATGGCATTGCCAACTCACAGATCTGTGCACAGTTATGTTATCAGACCAGATTCAAGCTAGCAAAAACTGGAGGAAAGACCCTTATCCGAACCAAAAATCTAAATAATGAAGTGATCCAGGAGCACTTGCACCAAAAAACCTTCATTCTCAAAGCACTTTAAAAGAAATAGTTCTTCCTTAAAATGCCATTCTGCTTTCGCTTTTTGAAAATTCTTTATCCTTGTCTCAGTCCCGTCCCTCTTTGGGCCATGCTCATTGTCTACAGATTAAAGATTTATTAGGCTCACACTGATAAATATTTCAAACAAGTAACAGGTGCAGCTATACAAACATTCTTCCCACAAGCCTCCCTCAGTTTGCAAATGTTTGCTTGCTTGTATAAATAAAACGATTTAATTGGTGTTTAAATAATGTACTGGATTCTGGAATGAAAATGTTCAAGGACTTTTCAAAACAACAAGAACAGATATGCTTTTGTTTCCTGCACTTGGTACACCACTCTGTGAGGTTTTACATCACGAGCAGAGGGTTGGGATGAATAGACATCAATGTGATTGTGTCAATTAGAGAGACGAACAACAGAGTGACCTTGCTTTGCATCGACAACAGAGAGTTGCAAAATGTTGGAGAGAAAAACAGTATGGATTAGATTCAGCTGGAATGTCTGAAAGGACCACGATAGATCAAATACAGGCTCAGTAAAGTGTTTGATTTTTTTGTCTGCACTCAGAGTTGAGGTTGTGTTTGCTCAAAATCTTTTTAATCAAATCGTGGAGCAATTTTGGATTGAAATGGATTTTCAACAAAAAGATACATTGCATTTTATTGTCTCACACTTCTGAATGCCAAACTGTATATCTAGAATTAAACTCTATGAAAAAGATACTTCCTTGGAGTTTAACAAAACCAGGTCACAACCACTATCTACACAGATGGACATCAATCCAGTGTGAGTGCAGTAAAAGTTTTGTACAAACTCTTTTATTTTGCATAAATACATTACAAACCAGAACGGTTTACAAATTCTGTACACTTTTTACTCAGCTAATGACGATCACTTGAGGTTTCTACACCAATTGCTTTCATTATAACATCACAACACTGTTGGAAACCCACTGATTGCATAGATAAAACAAATAAGCACCTTGATTGGAAAGGAAACAGTGTAAACGTTAGTGGGTTAGCTCATCTGACAATTCTTCACTTTTTCCAGTTGAATTTGCGCCCCCGAATATTTTCTGGCCTCAAACCTCCGCACAGACTCATTTGTATTCAGTGCACTCCAGACTCCAATTGGCATGTTGTACCTCGGAGTGCAGGTCTGACACCCTCTCCCAGAAGGAAAACTGTAAGCTGGGCCACAAGAGCTGCAACTACTGGAGATATGCCGGGAATCTAAAAGAGCTGCATACCGTAAGGTGAGCAGAAACTGTAAGGAGTCTGTGTCGTCCTGAAGATTGAAAAGTGCCATAATATTATTAAAAGAGGGATTGAGCGTTCTAAATTGAGACCTAGAAAGGTTCGACTGCAGAATCAAATTATACATTGACAATTTTGTTTGCTTGAAAAGCAGCTGAAAATGGAAAATTCTGGGTGAAGACTTAATTCAATAGTATAAACCATTAGTGCCAATGCATTTACATGGCGCTACATCTGATACAAATCCAGCTTTTGCTATCAAGACATTAAAGCATTAATCTTATGACTAAATGCATTAAGAAAATGTATATTCTTGTTGCATTACTTAAACCAAACTTGCTTTCGAGCTCCTGGGCAGCTGCCCGCCTCCTAATACCACTCAATATCTCTGATTCAGCAGATGCTTCTGTATCTTCACATGAATCAAAATGCTCGGTCAATGATGGAGGAAAAAATGTGAGAAAGTTTTAGTGGGGGGGTGGGGGGTGGGGGGGTGGGGGGGACACATCAAGATGCTGAGAGAGAAAATGAAGGCAGAAAAAATAGACTAAAGTTTGACCTTGAACTACACAGTCAATGTTAAAAAACAAAAACCAGCTAACAAGACAAACTGGGGGGCTGTCTATGAGATCCTAAGAGAGGACATAGAGCTGTCTTTAATATATGCAACAGAGCTGGTATTTCTGCCAAGAGATTAAACAATGCAATTAAGCTTCATGGCGTAACCTGATAAGCCTACCAATTATTTGCCAGTGGGTGTCATGACAACACAGACCCCACTCCAGCCCGGCGTTCTCAGTCTCAGTCATGACGCTGTGACTGCAAAGAGAAGAACCCTTCAGACAGATGGGTGGGACAATATTATATCCTCTTGACTATGAATGTTATCATAGTATGGGATAAAATCATTTGCAGTAGTAGTTCTACACATTACAGTGAAGAGAGGAAAAGACGAGCTGTGTCAGTCCGTGTCAAGTCAAATACATTTGTCCTATTCTCTGTGCATGGGCTGATAATTAGTCAAAAATAATATGCAGTAATATAAAACATACAATTACATCTGTACAAACTGTCTAACCCTAATGCAAAACATACAAGCATCTACACAGTCACATCTCAATAAGAGTCCTAGTTATCTTAACCAGTGTGAAGCCCTGATCTACTCATCCTACTTCATTTATAATGATACAATATACACACACACAGATGGCACAGCTTTGACATTGAAAAAATAATGCATATGGAAATATCTTTCTTTACTCTTATAGTGTGGCCTCGCTTTACAGTCATGGTTATAAGCTCACATCATTGTTATTCTTTCAACATCACCTCTATGTACAGGGACAGCTTGCTGCACGAGGAGGTGACTGAATGGAGAGTAGTCGTGTATGTGTTGCTTACATAAGATACGTTCAAGTTCAAGACAGTGATGAAACTGATTGTTACAGACATATCAGGATGGTTCTGGAAGAGAAAGGTTATTGTTGTTGTGTACGGGGAGGAAGGTTGCGTTTTCCTTTATATTACAAACACAATGTTGCATACAAAATTGACCTATTCACAAAAAGCAAGCGAGTACAGGGTACTCAATTTATTCACATTTTGAAAACTGATTCTTAGTTCCTCTTGTTTTGAAATATGTTTTGTGTTGCCATTTTATAGATTATATTGCTATTTTGTATTTGTCTATTTTGTTGTGCGTTGTGTTTCATAAAAAAAATATTACATATAACCTTGATGATGTCGTAGTGATTTCAATGAGCTTCTTTTTCTTTTTTTACTTAAATCATGTTTAACACAAAGCCTGACTTAGAATCTAAGGGGGTGGAGCTTGATATACAGATCTGTTTGATGAGGTCAGTCAGTGTCCACAAGAAAGAGTACAAAAGACACTATCAAGTTGCATAATGGGAAATGTAGGAACCAGTGGATTCGTTTTGGGGTTGCTTTTTTTTGCAGGTGAACATGCTTCGCCTTCAATCTATTGCATTTTTAAATCTGTCTTATTAGAGTTTCTCCAGTCTATTAAAGGTCACACATTATGCTAAATACATTATACCATGTTTTTCTAACACTAATATGTGTTTCCAGTCTGTCTACAAACCCACCTAATTAGGAGAAAAGTCAATCCTCTCTGTTTTTCGCCAGCTCCACTTTTCAGAAAGTGTGCTCAAACAGGCTGTTTGGAGATTTTCCCTCATCTTCATTCTCGTCATTCTCACTAAACTATTTGGCATGGTGCGAGAAAGCCCGAGCCGCCCAAGCCCTTCCAGAGAGGGGCGCGGTCAGAGACAGCTCATTTGCATTTAAAGCAACAGACACAAAAACAGCGTGTTCTGAGCAGGGCTGAAATAAAGCAGTAAATAGGCCTGATAAAATACAGGATCAGAGTGGATTTTTAACAAGAAACTTCACACACATGTTTTGGGGGAGCTCTGAGACTTATTTAAACTGGTTGAAAAGGAGAATAATATGTGACCTTTAAAGTGTATGATTAACTCAGTGCAGTACTTCCATTAACATCAATATGTAGTTCTAGCAAAGGTTTTGAATTTTAGTTACAGCTTGATGGTATTATTTAGTCGATTTTTTTATCACTTGATCAAATTGATCACCTAACATATAACAAAGTAAAGCGATTTATTGATAGATGAGCAAAATCTGAAGTAGACAAAGGCCAAATATGGTCATTTCGAGTCTTTGATTCAAAAAGAAAGCAGTCCTTCTGGTTATATTTTCTTGGCTACAAAAAAAAAACAGGCGTATGTATGCTTTCTTGTGTGATACATGATATATGCCATCATCGTTTAGACATATCTCTTTAGGGTTGATTCCTGCCTCGTCTGTGACACAGTTATGGTTCAGTCAAAAAAAAAAAAAAAAGGAAGACAAATACATGCAATATGACTGTAGGCCTTCATTTCTTATCACCATATCACATTCCTTTTCGACAGTTAAATCAGCACAACAAAGTAAACACCATGGTTGATAAATGGTACCAATTTCCAGATGATTTTAAAGACTGGACTCTCCAGTGACTGGATGGCAGCTATTTCACCATCAAACAACAAAATTAGACAACTCTTATGATTTCAGAATGAGATGACAGACTTATTTACACACAAATTGATATCCTGATGTACAGAAACTCACAATCAGGACAATTTCTGTACACATTTGGATTAAAGATGGGTATTCTAAAGTTGGCATCCATCCTGGTCTTTACATCTGAGTTGAAATATGTATTTTTTCTTGTCTTGGAGTGTTGCTGTCACACATGATTCATCATCTTTCATCTGGCAGTTGTTGGGGATGTGAAAATGGCAGGAGACGGCCGTTTAAACTGAATGGAGAGTGTGCGTGTTGACAAGAAGGCATTCACAGAGAAAGCGGTTTATAATATCAGGGTTTCCATTCAGGCTTCTCTGCAGCAGCCACAGAATATCAAACAGCATCTCTGGTTCAGGTTTGTGCACAGGGGAGTGTGATGTGTTTTTCCTCTCTGTTCAAGTGTTGAATGTTTTTTCAGTTTTTTGTTTTTTTTCAGGTTTATTCTGTTGATCTTGGGACCTGTGCTAGATTTCTGTCTCATTTCAGTGGTGCTGGAAGTTGGGCAGTCATTGCTGGCTTCTGTTATTCCAACTCTTTGCTGTGGATGTACAAAGGACTGTGATTGGAGAGCTCCTGAGGGGCTCATAGCTGCATTGTCAGAGACGGGTTCGGCGCAGGACTCGGCCAGTCTTAGACAAAGAGAAAGAGAGAGAGAAAAGTCACTTTGCTACAGAGGTCAAAGGCGGTAAATATTGAGTTGTTGAACAGTTAAAAACTGGAATAAAAAAAACGACAAAATGAAGCATGAGCATGTGAGTATTACATTTATTTTATTTCCTGAAATGACTGGGGACATGTTTAAGGGTAATGTGAAGAGCGAGCCGGTGGAAACACAAACTTCCAAATGTAGGCAATATTTAAAAATCTGTTTTTCCTAGAAGAAAAACAACAACATTTTGGCACATTTAATTATAATCTATATATTCTTTCATTTAAAGTCTGTCTTTTATTTCCTTAAGAATATTTTTTTAGATAACAAGAGAATAAGAGTCCTAACCCAAATATCACATCTCAACCTTCCTGTGCATTTAAAGCATCTGGCCTGTTTTATTGATATTCCAGTTGGATTTGAAAGGTTCAATAACTTGCATGTGATTTTCACAGGGTGCTTTGGCTTTGGAATGGGAGGCTGGGAATTAATAGCTGTAGATGTGGGGAGGGGCACCTAGAAAACACCTACATACAGGTTTGAGAATATGTGCTACATCACAGTTTAATAAACTAGATGTAGTTATTCAAATGGAAAAGGTTTCCTGGGGGTTCCAAGGATGTGAAACATTTATCAAGACAATTTGCTTTTTCTAATCTGTCAGTTTCATTGTAAAATACAGAGATGGGACTGTACAGGACTGAGTGTTGTTTTTTTAAAATTAGGTCATAGGCAACATGCAGCAAAGTATGAAAAATAAGACTTTGATTGTTTAAACTTACCGGTGTCCATCTCTTCTACCTCCATGTTGCTGCATTCAGATAAAGAAAGAGGACATCATAAATATAGAAACATGGTTAAACTGTAAATGTGTGATTATTTTATTACTCAGTTCTTTGAGTATCTTCTCATTCGTAAATAGAATCTGTCAGAGCACACAGTCTGTGTCTCTTCAGTCTGAGAAGCACTCAGAGAAGGTTCAAATGACACAAAAGAAAGAACTCATAACATTTACATGAGGTTAAATTATTTAAACACCTCAGCACCGAGCTGTCACTTACATAATAGTCCTCTTTCCTCTAAGGTCTCCTTTCATTTAGCAATCCATAATACAAAATCAAGCGTTTAATTAAATACAGGTGTAAAGGTTGAATTTACGGAGCTTCTGTTTGAATCATTTTCTACTTCTCTTTCAATTAGATTCCTCACAAAGGCCTAAACCCTGACCCATGCTCAAAGTCCTCATTAAAAAATGAGTCTACTGATGTGACTGCTTTTGTTCAAGCTCAATTTAGGGAACAATATAAAGCAGTGCTAGCGCCAAATCAGAAGCTGTAGTGTTTTAAGAGAAATGAAGTTAACCAGCAATGCAAGGACATCAAAACTGGCCAATGAGGGAACTTTAAATTCAGACACTCTTAAATTGAAGATGAAACAAAGAAGGAGAGAGAAACAGCAAATTAAGGTTTGACAATGTACATGAAATAAGCAAATTTGCATTTCATCTACAGAAATAGAAGACAGTAAATGTCAGGTAGTGTTTTTGGATGAGACAAGAATCTGAAGAGCTGATCTATGCAGGTCACTTTGCTTTATTTTTGCTTATTTATTATTACAGACCAAAGTTGCAGAACAGTAATGCTCTCCGTTTTTTTGCAGAACGTTTTTTATGTTTTGTTTTTTTACTTAGCATTGTAGCTTTTGCTTTGAATTTGTTATCAAGCTGTCAAAGATGTTTCCATCTGAGCACTGGAAAAGGTTTCAAGGGACGAAGACAACAAGCCACTGCTGCTGAACTAAAAGCACTCCCAAATGTATTATGCAACACCAAAGGAGTGTCACAGGAAGCCATGACAACTCAATGTCATCCTGAGTCTTTGTAGTTTCAGGACAGATCTTCTTCTCCAACATTTGCGCATCTTCACAGCTGAGCTCCTCATCATGCTAATCTCTGCAGAGCAAGTCCGACCTAATACTCTACAAGTCGTTCAGCTATTCCTCTAGCATTTCCGAATCTGACTCTTCCCTAAGTGTTCCGCAAATCCACAACCATGAGCCACACTCCTGACTGGAGGTCAGCATCTCATCCCCCCTGCTGACAACATCGTGGGTGATGATTTGCTTTCCTTGTTTGATCTCTCTTCAACCTGAGCAAGCTTCCACATTCTGTGTTTTTAATCTCTGCCTCTCATTTATTCATTTGCTTTAACTGAAGTGTTTTATCCTCCCGGCTAACACACCGATCTGTGAGCCGCAGGCAAGACAAGCTAATGAGCAGCTTTCTGTTAAATGTGAGGCGCTCCATCCCACTGCTGCTCTCTCTTTTTCTGATGGGATAATACTGCTCTGCAGGAGACACACACACCCACATGCACACACATCAGATGGTTCTATAAGACACTGCAGGGCTGTGCAGAGGGCTCGCACACTCTCTGGACCTCAGAGCCGCCAGTTTGTTGTGAATAAAAGGGCGTTATTCAGAGCTTGGATGGGTTTTGAGGGTATAAGTATCATGTTTGTTTTGTGTACAAAAACAACAACACAAAACACTACAACACAAAACACTTCCTCTATGTGTCCATGTGTGTGCATGAGCAGTTATAATGCAAAAAGACTTATTGTCATCACACCTTCATGAGCCGAGTCTCACACTGTCGCCTCTCTCTGCAGGAATCTCACAGTCATGAAATGACAATTTCACACACTGTCACACTTGGAAAGAAAATGGAAATTGTTGTGCTGTAATCTCAGTTCTGTGATCAAGTGTTGATGCAGTGTGGACGAGAGGGCTTCCTGGCTTCTCTGTCAGGAATGGTGGCCATCATGTCGGCATGGAAGGAAGTGAGCATGTCTATTTCCTTCACTGGTTCAAAGTGGCAGAGTGAGTTCACAGGAGTCCAGAATCTTCTACAGTATATTACATTAGCTTAGTCCTTGCGATAGCTTGTGTTTATTGTTTTGTAATGTAGAAAAATGTAACAACTGAGATATGATTATCATAATCATAATCCAATAAATAAGACTAGTAAATAAAAGAGGCAAGTCGAGAGCAAGTTCGAACAAGTTCAAACCAGGAAATGCTACAGAAAGAGGCATTGAAATTATTAATGATTATGTGACATAAAAGAATGTGTTAAAAATACAAAAAAAGAACTTAAGGAATTAAATTTTGGCCTTGCAGAATGATGATCTTTGCCACATGATTCTGTTCTCAGTTTTTTTTAAACAACATTTTCTAATCTATTTTTTTTTAACTTCCTTTGTATGTATCTATTCAATTATATTTCATATTATTTTGAACTACTCATCAGTCCCTGATTAATTAAACAGGACGTTTTTCAATCACGAAATTAAGTTACCAAATCAATAGTGTTCACTAATCTGAAACCTTCAGACAGTTGTTTCATGGATCACTCTGAGAAAAGGAGCCTGCTGCATGTCACTGTGTGCGTCTGTTTCTCAGTGTGAATTTCAATAAAAAATACTGTCAGTCACCGTGCCCAATGTAGGTTTTGTTATTTAAAGTAGTGTGAAAGGTTTCTGACAGCTGACCATCACCCTCAGTGTGACCGACAGACAATAAAAGTACTTGACAGGATAAAAACGGGGGATCAATCCTCTTTTTGAGTCAGTTTCAACATAACATTTGTTTCAAAAATGTGTTTTTTGTTTTGTTGGGAATATTTGAGAATTTAGTGCACAATAAAAATCGTGTTTCCTGTTGTACATTAAAGAGAGTACTCCCAAAGTTCAGCAGACATGCAGTCACTCAGTCAAGGTTACCTTGAGAAGGCATCATCCAGTCCATCATCCACGTCCTGTTGGCACATAAACAGAAATCAATGCATGCATCAATTATTTCATATTACAGATTGGACTATTTCATTTGGCTGAGTCAGCTGTTTCTCATAACTAATTTCATCCAAGTGGCACACAGATTCATTAATAAACTGAAGGGTCAGACATTGAAAAATGCATTTGTGATGTTTATGTGGGTAAGAGACTTCAACGAGATGGGAGGAGTATGGAAAAAATTAAGATAAGGATAATTTTTTTTTGCATTACAGTAAGCTAGGTCGTCAATCCAATTTAAATCTTTGTGCATTGCTCTAATGTATAACTTCAATATGTCCAGTGTATACTTAAACTACTATGTCATTTATGTAATGTTATTCAGCCCTCTGTAAGGCTAACATGAAAAACTACTCTAAGTCAGAGAGGTGAGCATTTAGAATCAAGACGGACAAGCAAATAACATCTGATTTAAATAAGCAGAATTTCCCCCCATTATTAGAATCAGGAAAACTATGTAAAAAAGGTAGATGAACGTGTGTGAGCTCATTCTTTAGGAAAGGTATTCTTAATGATATGGCGACCTCTAGTGTTAGGAATCCTTTAAACGCACACCAGGATGGAGATTGATAAGACTCAGCAGTACAAACATTTAAAATTCCTACAACAATAGAATGAAACTGCTCCGATTACTGAAAAATGAAACTGAAATAAAAAGAGCCCTCCAGCATATCTGCAAGAGTTATTTTTTATTATTCACGGTAAACCCCATCTGAACATTTTTAAATTATGAATTAAATTAAGTAAATGTCATTGTTATAGGATCATGCTGAGGGTATAGCTAACAGTACTTCAGTCTGATTCATGACTTTGACAAAATAAATACTCTGCAGTGACTTCTTTCATCACTGTAAGACATCTGTCAACACAATAGTTATCTACATCTTGTTTTGGTAAATATTGACTCAAAGTGAGAAATGACATCCAGATTACATATAATGTCCTAAATTCCCCAAATGATGAGATGTCCGGGTTTCATTTAGATTACAACTTCACTTACAGTTTTTTATTATTATTGAAGATAATGTGACGGTACTATCTTCATAGAAAACATAAATTTTAAGCATTAAGACTTTTCCATACAAAAGGAGAAAGACACTGATATTGTGATTTAAAAAAATTCATACAAAAACATCTCAAAAGCTACAAATAGCTTACAAGCTAGCACCAATACTGACCTATGAGGATAATGGAAAAATGTTGACGACCTCATAAACAGCTTGTGCTCTAAATACATTAGCAGTTATTTGCGTTTATATATCCTTTTTTTTTTTAGATTGAGGACAGTGGCAGCACTAACACACAACATGTAACCTGAGGTGCTGCAGCAGAAATTGGATCAGAGGTATCATAAGTAAACTGTCATCTAATCATAAAACAGGTTTAAAAACATCATTTTGAATCCAATCAGCAGTTTTGGATGCGGATGGTGTGACCTACCCAGGAGTCGTGTTTGATTGGTCTCCTTCGTGTCGGGTTACTTCGAGGTGAGGGCGAGCTGAGTGAGGCGGAGAAGAAGGGCCTCCGCAGCTTCTCCTCCATCCTGACAGGCTTATGTGTTTCTGGATCTGACGGAGTCGCCAGGTTGCAGGCGAGTTGACGGAGGAAGTGAAGTAACGCAGAAGAGAGAAGAGAAAAGGGGAGACTTGTAAGTTTTCAGTCTGCAGCACAACCATTACTCTTCAGCCTGTGGCACTCCCTGCTCTCTGAATTTAAATCTTTTCATCCATCTCTCAGTGCAGGATTACTCCTGAAGTCCTCCAGGCTTTCACATCACACATCTTTCTGGCCCTACGACTCTACTGCAGGAAGTGGAACACGTTTTAATGGAGAGAATTAGGAAAAGCAAGCTATTAACTAAAATCAACCTGAATGGTTGATTAAGTCTCTTTTTTTGAAACCCTTTGACACCAAAAAGGAGCAGAAAAACATTTTGACCTATAAAAATGTCAGGCCATTGGAGGGTGCTTAGAAAATCTCCGGCTCCCCTGAATGACTAATGAGTGGCTTATAATTGGCCGATTTGTCCCTCGACGTGATTGGCGGCCGTTTAATTGGTGTGTCAGAGGGTTCAGTGCTAAACTATGAAATTACTAGTCTGGCTGTTGAGTGCACGCAAGAACCAGAAAGGTCATTTAAATTATTATCATAATGGAGATGAACACAGAAGCTTTAATTCAGCATGTTTATGTGAAACTGTTTGTGAGGATGATTACATCTGGAAGAATTTACTCCAATGTATCTGCAACTACGTACTCTGAATGTGCAGCTGATTACCTTTCACATTTTTAAAACAAAAAACTGTGATCATTGTGTCTTTACTGATGACATCACATCATGTTTTATTCATCATTTAAAGTTTAAACATCAAGTGAAAAAGAAACGAAGACCTGCCAATAAATATAAAACGTCTAAACAAAATGATTTTTCCAGCAACCAGCGCAGATAAATTAGCACTGGAAATAAAATTACATTACGTAAGCTGACAAGAATAAAAGTTTTAGAAATGTTAGGATGAACTTATGGAATCAGTTTTAAAAAGCAGTTTAACTTGAATTCTTTATTTCTTAGTATTTAATTAATCCTTTTAGAAACTATTGTGGTCATGAGCGTTTAGTCACAGAATTGATTGTTTGTTACCAAGACAACCATGTATCTAGCGACAGTTACACAGGATTAGCTGGGGAATGTCAGACTTTGATCTTGAACCCATCCAGCACAATAAGCTTCATGTCATTGTGTATATAAAACATACTGTGGATAAACACAATCAGACCTACACACCTCCTGGAACACACTGAGTGTCGGTCGCCTCCGTCTGCCCGTTGTTTGTAGCACAGGAACAGCAGGTCCGAGCCTTCTTACTTTTGTCTGCAGATATGAAGAAACACAAAAGAAAACCAAAATGAATCCTCCAGTAAGAATAGGTTTCATCTTTGTGATCCATCGCCTTCCCTTTGTTCAGTTGACTCACCTTCCTGAGCAATCTCCCACAGATCGAGGGCTACTTTAAATGCCTGAGCTACAGTTAATGTCACAGCCTGGGCCTGCAGGGGAAAAGGGAAAATGAACACAGTTTCCAAACACACAATTTAAAACATAATCAACAGTTGTGATGACATTGGGTGAAGAATGTTTGCTTTAACATCTTTACAAAGATTATTTTACAATTTGCTGTGATATGAGATAACAGTTTCATTCTTATAGATTACTTAAAAAGGTTTCACTAACACAGAACAATCTTGTGAGCTGCGGGGTAATCAGCCACAAGATGGCGCCACACACCATCTACATTCAAGCTTTTTTTTGCTGGTGCCATTCATTGTATTGTATGTTCAGCACATAGTCCAGACAAACTAGCTTTTACTGCACACATCAAGAAAATACAAACATAAAATACACCCATTTCAAAGTGTCTGATCACATACGATCTTCTTCTTCTGGCAGAGGAACGCATGGCACTCCAGGGTCTCGTTGAACTGACTCTGGGAGACGTAGGCGAAGACCTTATCCTGAGTTTTATCTGCTGTGCAGTAAGAGATTCTAGGAAAAGAGAACGCAGAAAAACAAAAGAAGCATTATTGAATTTACCAACTCTATAAATCCCACTGACATGACTGCATTTATGATGACAAATGAGACACTGCAGCAGAAAGGAATCAATGTATGACATGAACGTCTCAAGGCAAACATCCTATTTTTTTATATGACATGCATGCAAACAAAGAGAAATCCTGTTCTGTGCATTAGCTGGCTGCCTGCACTCTCCATCACACCTCATATATCAAAGGAAGCAACACAAGCATATATGTCAATACAGGGCCATAACTTTTCAACCCTCAACCTCTTGCATATGCATAAGCTAACTAATCATGGCTGGATGAAAGCAGTTGTTCTGAGTATTATGCTGATGAAGTCCCACAGCTGGGGATGGAGGAGAAAGAGACTGGAGAGCGGCGGTGACATCCACGAGAGATGCTACAAGCTTTCACTGGACTTTTCAGTGCCCTATATTTTCACATAAAGTGTATTTGATGCTACATTTTGTCCCAAATGTAAACACAATATTTCTTTGTGGATTGAATTGTTCAACAGTCACCTGAGCTAATAAACGTTCAGGCAAGTGTAAGAATATTGGAGGACAATGCGAAAGAACTAAAGATGCTAACTGGTATTTTTCCTTTAAATGCTCCGTCGCCATCAAATAATGAAATAAATGAACATAAACATATTTGTGATTGGGCTAGGCTAACTTTTGTTAAATTCTCTACATTCAAGTTTTATTTTTTTCACTTGAGACAACTACATAAAGTCCTGTGACACTGCTGGAAATCAGATGTCTGAAGTAAACTTCCTGACAGTCACGTAATGTATTGCTACTCCTGTTGAAATGTCAGCATTTCTTGTGTCGGCGGGGAAATGGGAAAAAAAATCTCGAGTTACGAATCGATCTCCGCTGTGACTGCAAAGCACTTCAGACCTCATTCCCAGCAGTCACACTGAATCTCACCTGGATCTTATTTCTAGCTTCAAGACATCTGAATGACTTGCCTTCCATGTCCTATTACATTCAACAGTTATCTAAAACCAATCTCGAACAAATCCACCACCATCCAAAAAAAGCCTGTATGGGTTCACTGAAACGACAGACATAGATCCGATGGATTTGTTTTGCCAGATTTTATCCAGGCTGTTCGAAGCCGTATTGATCTGGAGTCAGCCTGTGTGTCTGCTACCTGAACCAGCAGAGCGTGTCATGTTTGTGGCTTTAAATAGACGTGTAAAGGAGCCACAGAGTGACACCCTTGACCTTTGTCACTCTAATTAAACACACATCCTTTGTAATGAGCAGGACAAGGACAAGATTGGGTGCATTTGACCCTCATTTCGCCTGGTATAAAATTCTGCTACACTGACAGAAGTCGTTGTTTGTCTCTTAATCACCTGGTATCGATTAGTTTGAGACACCCATTGAATGTGATCTGCAGTGATTGAAGACGCCACAGGACTGCTGTAACCGTCATGTTGATGTCTAAATTATCTTTCAAAATTCTACGCTGTATCCAAAAAAAAAAAAAACATCTGCAGCTGGCAGCCACTCATCGGCAGCCCGACTTCAATGAGGAGCACTGACAGTGCAGCAATTTATTCGATCAAACAACAAGCATGAAAATACAAGCCTTCACACTTTCCTCTCAGAGTGTTTGCTGGCTTGCACCACTGATGCATGACCCACATTGTAATGCCCCTGACACCAGCCTCTGTATTTCCCCCCTTTTCTTTCCTCCCTGATACAGCCTCTATTTGGACCTTAATTGCATAAAAATGAGCGGAGAGAAAAAGTTGAAAGGGGTGGCCTATTTAACTTGAGAAAACAAGTGTGATATAACCAACGTGCTTAATTTAAACTTAATTATCATCTTATTGAGATGTTGAAAAAAACTTTCTCTCTATTATATCCTTCACAACCTGAACTTGAGTTTTCTTTGTGGAATGTCAAGGATTTGCATCTTTGCAGTGTTTATGACCTTAATTGATTTGTTTTGTGCATTCATTATTATAATAAGATAATAATGTATATACCATACAATGGTTCAGTCTCATTGGCAGCAGCTTACTTTCTATCAAAATTAAATTTAGAAACTGCAACAATGGTTGAGCATTTGTGGGCTTGTCACAAAGATTAGAGCAATGATGAGATAATCAATGCTTTGGGGTGGAACAATAAATCACAGTTCTATCTGAAAGGTCCATTTTTGAACTTTTTTTTTAGGAAGTCAAGTTAAAGTTTGCACAAAGGTTTCTTCTAGTAATCACAGACAGGCAGATACTTAATGCAGCCAAAAGAGTCAAAGTTTGGGAATGAGCAGACTATTCTCTCTTATTAAAATAAAAGAGACACAAGAGAGAGTTCTGAGACAGAGTTACACTTTCACAAGAGATGCTATCCAACGTCCACAAAATGTTGTTAGATGTCCCACAACATACAGCTGTAGGCAGAGGAGAAATAGGCAAATAGGTCAGTGCACTTCAGCGCCTGTGAGGATAAAACTTCAGCAGGAATAGTCTTCATTGAACTGTGTTTTCCATCCAAGTAATACATTGATTGTTGGGGAAATTATGTTTTCTCCTGTTAGCAAGAGCTAGACTTCTAATAGTGTTAAAAGGGACTTCTAGTAATACATGGTTTTCCTTCTTATATGGAATCCATGTGACAACTATGTTACCCTGAATGAATACGTTTCATTGGAGTGAATGCACAGTCAAGACTTCATCTGTCTGGTAAAGACTTACAAGCTTGTTCTTTGAGAGTGTGTCGGTGTGTAAAGAACTCCTAAAAATCCCTGTGTTTGCAGATTCAACTCATCACAGGACAATTAGAATACGAGAAATGAATTACTGCCAACCAAACAATGGATCATATTTGCGAAAACAATCCTCGAGCTTGAAACAAAAGCTGAAGAAAATAATTGACAGCGTGGCAACGTTTTCACTAGGCATGAACAACAGAAGCTGAGCTGTCAGTCTGCATCATATCTCCAAAGAGGCTCTGTGGACTCGAGCCTTTGATCTCCTCTGTCTCGAGCACCGCTGTTTGTGCGGCAGCAAGGGAATATCAATGGAAATATTTTAATATTTACAGTTCAAAGCCTCAGTAAAACGTCACACATCAAAGCCATGTGTGAACACTGAATAAAGCAGGTATATGTTGTTCAACAATGCACTACTATTGTTTACTTTTCACTCTTATCTTAAGTTCAAATATGAAAAAGGAACATCAGAACAATTTGAAAATTCAAACAAAAAATGTTCAAATATTGACATGAATATTCAGAACACACTGTTTAAGAATCTGACGGACACATCTCACAGATCTAACGATGTGTCAGAACATGGAGCCTCATTACCAGGTGGACTGTCAGTTATCTTTCAGCCCTTTAGTGTTGCTCTGATTGAAATGCTATTTGGACTCTCAGAGCTCCCGTCAGAATATGAATCAGTAACACCAGTCCAGATGGAGGCTCAACACCTCACAATGTGCTGCGCATAGGGATATGTAAGTATCAGTGTGGTTAGATAGGACCAACAAATAGCTACATTTAATGCCAGCATCTTTTTCTAAAGCCAAAAAAATTATGCCTATCTAAATTATGCCTCCCAAAAAAAACATCTGTGTTCATACCTTAACTCCATCCGCCAGCTCTGAAATATTTTCACACTTGTAAGTAAAAACATCTCTTGGTGTCGCTCTGAGCCTTATCCCTGCCAACAGTCTGACCTGCAGCAGTGCTACAAGGAAGTACTGCTCGTGATGGAAGTTCAAGCTGATGATAAAACTATTTCAAAGTCTGATATTGCAAATAAGACACACTGTAAGCTGAAAGTTCGCTGTCTGGAGCAGAGTGCTTTTAAAGTCTGCTGATTTAAATATCCTGATATAAAAGTGTGAAAACTTGAATGTAAATAACAGGATCATAAGGCAGTGTGTTCGGGTGTGTGTGTGTGTGTGTGTGTGTGTGTGTGTGTGTGTGTGTGTGTGTGTGTGTGTGTGTGTGTGTGTGTGTGTGTGTGTGTGTGTGTGTGTGTGTGTGGTTGTGGATGGATGGTGGGTCATGCCTTGGAGGATCCCATTCCCAAAGAGATGCACTATATCTTCAGACTGTTTTCTATCCTCACTAAGCTCCCCCCCCAAGGGGGAAACAACCCGACCTCCACTAACTGTGAATCCACAATTAACTCGACAAAAACACACATTTACATACACACTCTGTGTGTGAGGTGCATACTTCAATGCTCTCGAGTCAATTCATGTGTGGACAGGCAGTATGTGCAAACAAACAAACACACACACCTTGTGTTTCTCCCTCTTATTTGTTATGCACAATCAGCAGTCCATTTGATCCATTCTCTGAGAATCCTCAGTCTTTCACACTTCACTTGTTTTCTTGGCCAATAAATGGATTATGTGCAACTAAAATAAGACACGAGAAAGGAGGGGCAAAAGGGGAGAAGGTCTACAAGGAGGGTGGGGGTGGGGTCTCATAAAAGGGGGGGGGGGGGGGAACAATCTTCAGTAAACCAAAGCTCTGCATGTGGCCCCTTCAATCTCTCCACTATCATCACTCTGAAACTCGTGCAGTCTATACTCCAAAGAGGCCAATTAGTTGCGGGTATTCCTGGGTTCGTAGCTCTGTTTATGTTAATAAGAGCAGAAAAGAAAGGTCTATTATAGAAAGTAAAAATGAAAGGGGGAAGGAGATGAGGGGAAGCGGAGGAGAGAAGAGGAGGAGATCAAAAGACGAGGATGATTCCTCTTCGCCTGTGGCCTGTCAGCGCTGATAAGGTGGATCAGAAGGGGATGTGAACCAACACACAAACACACACACAAGCACACACACCGATACACTCAAATGACTTATCCCTGTCTATATCACAGCCTGTTTGGTAATCACAGTCCAGCCATATGATATTTAGACTGTAATCCTCGATGACATGACGCCGGGGCCAAATAACAGGATGCTTTCCAGAAAGAGGAAACCAGCCAAACGTATCTCAATTGACACACACTTCACTGATTTGGTAGAGGGAGCTGAGCATGTAACTGAAGGGGGGTTAGCTTTCATTGACGCTGAGAGACAATAACAGACCCCCCCCCTCAGCGAACCCCTCCTGCCCTCACATTATTGCCTCCCAGTGAATTGATCAAACATGAGAATCACAACAGCTCTGAGCAGATCGTGGTTTAATCGTGCAAAAGGAGCCAAGGCGATGGACAGAGGGGAGAGTGACCTAGATAGAGGACATCATGCATCAGATGAAGCTGATTACTTAGTTTTGAGAAATCAACTTGAAGGATCCACAGCATTGTCAGGCATAGGTGATGACTGTTTAATGCAAAAAAATATGAATAGAGTTTTAATATTTGGTTCTTAAACAACACATTTCATAAACCCATGTTAACTGGATATTATTGATCAAACATTTTTCATAGTGAGGCATGAACATGGTTGAGGTAACTTTATTAACACTTTTAGTTACACTGTGAATTCAGTGATGGAATTCTTCGTGGTCTGCAAGAAATGTTCAATTATCTGCATGAAGCCAGAACTCCTCTGTAAATGAGGTCAGTAGGACTCTCACTGTGACATACTAAAGAACACTTTTTTTTTTTTTTTTTTTAAGTAGACTATCTATTGAGTAAGAATTAGCTTGAAATCACATTTTGAAAAATACTTTTTGAAATGGAGTGAACTGTATGCATTAGCTTTTCCATAATGAGCTAAATTATGTCTAACATTGAGGGCAATAATTACTTTATTATCACATGCACTATTACTTTTTAACATGGGCTATATTATGTTTTAAAGGTTTTATAGTCATGTGCAGATTTATTTTCCCAAACACATCATCACTTTATTTTATCATGTAGAATGACGTTCAAAATCATATATCAAACATTCATTGTATATTTTATTCATACCTTTGAACTTTACTATCAATACAACAGCATTACTTTTGTACTTAACTTACTTTGTTATTTATCTCATCATACATCTATTCAGGCATGGTCTCAATTAACAATCCACTCAATACTTTATTATACTCTTCATGTTTTTGGATTTCACTTGTATTTGATGCTCTAAAGATCTTCTGTGTCACTATACTTAATTATTTTGTTCTGTAATGTTGGAGAAAAATGGCACCAGAATTTCCTTTGTGATTAATAAAGTTATGTCTTAACTTATTCTATCTTATACTGAGTTTAAAGTCATTCAAATCTGCAACATAAAAAGCACTTGTCCTTATTAGTGCCTCCACACTGCATGCTTCTCTGTCGGTATTATAAAAGCTCAACATGCTAATGTTAAGTGATGGTAATGTTGACCATGGTCAATATACTCATACATTTTACCAACACTCTATGTTAGACAACACATTTAAACCCAGTCTCGGTGCTGGAGAAATGGGTCAGTGGGCCGTCGATCTGAAAGATTTTCAATTTGGAACAGAGCAGAATGCCTGTTCCCAATTTCACAACAATCTATCCAAGCCTTATTAAGTTTTTTCACTTTAAACACAAAGAATGAACCCTTAGTGGTGCAACTGTGAAGAGAAAAGATCTTAAATGCCAGAAGGATTCATATTCTGGAAACAATGAATGTCTGTATTTAATTTTCATCTTATGGATATAGAGTTACTTCAGTCACTGTCTGGCAGACTGAAAGACAGAAGGACAGATGGAGCGATGAACAGCATGCTTCTCAGTAACATGGTGCTATGCAACTAGCATGTCTAAAAATATCTGTATTCAACTCGAATCTGAGTGCAGTCTGGTGCGGTACAAATTTGCACTCTGCTGGAGTGTTAGTCTCAACCAGCCAAACCACTGTGCAGGTTTCCATTTGAAATCTTTTTTAATTTAGCACTTTTATTTACCTGTATATGGAGACATTTTCTACGAGGTCTGTCGTCTCCGAGTCTGTGATGATGATGCCTTTCGGTGAGACCGTCAAAGTCACTTTCCGAAACTTTTTAGAACTGGCTCTGGCCTATGGAAAGGAAATACACGCATACATTAAAAATCAGACTGAGAAAATCTTGCCACAGGTGAAGTCAGATCTTGCCCGTCACTCTGACATATATAAAAGATGATCTTACATCTGATTACACACCAAGAACCCTCTAGTGTGACAGTTGCTGTGCAGAACTAAGCAGCCTGCATGAGTTGTCCCAGAAATGTGGGGAATTTATAAAAGGTGACAGAAAGGAATGGGGGGGGGGGGGGGGGGTGCTGTGCTGCTGCTATGTGTAGCCCAGAATGAGTCCTTGAGGTCGGGCTGGCAGCCATTCACTCCCCCTGCAGATCTGCTCCATCTGGAGTTTCAGAAAAAAAAGGGCCATATAGTGCTGAGCGTGCGGACTGCGAGAGCGCCTGTTGACAATGACAATGACCCCCTTACTGTGCAATTAGCTGGCAAATGAGAGCAGTTTAGTTTCACAGCCAGATGATATCAGGTTAAAAATCAGTAGAGTGACGGTGCTGGAAAGCAGAGGGGAAAGAAGAGATGGGGGATATAAAAAAAGCAAAGATTGCATCATCTATTTCTACATTCATGTTGCATCAGAGTACTTGTACTTTGACGGGAGGTGAACTAAAAGCTAAAAGTGAAGAGGCTTTGAGGATGAAAAGGAGTTTGATCTGTGCTGGAACAAACACTAAAGGACTTCTGAAGGACAGCGGGTATGGTGCTGAGATTCTGTAGCAGCCTAAACGCCCAGGAGAACAGCACACTCTGCACTGCACTTACTACATGGAAAAACCATCATTATGATAAGAGAGGCAGAGTGTGCTGTGGCTGATGGTGGCAGCTCATTCATGTAGGAAGTGTTAACAATCACATTTTCTTCTGTCATGTTACTCGTGTTGTGCCAAAAGGCAAAAAGCAATCTGTCAGCCTGAGATACGCCAAGTTCAGCGTCTCACTTATACATCAGGTCCCCCTCTGGTCTTGTCTTATCATTTACTGACTGAAGCATGTAGGAAATGGAAAAAGTCATGAATGTATTCAGTAATCCCATTCAGGCTGATTGGTTTCCAAGGGAACAGACAGAGACAACAGAGTGTCTTTCTTTTGTGTCCTGTTGTAAATCAAGTGAATCTTAATCCTGCCATTAGGTTTGGTTGAGTTTGTAATGAAGAAGCAGGAGATTTGTGATTGTCTGCCTGCGCCACACTTTTCTTTCTGCAGAAAAAGCCAATAGAATAGACTTTTTATTGTTGGCAGGATTCACTGAAAAAGGGTGTACATGTGTGTGAGAATGTGAGAATGAAAACGTTTCAATTATTTGGGGTGTTTTTTTCGTCTAGAGCCTGAACGTTTTCAGAAAAACTGTCAATCGATTTCAATCTAAGTTGGAAAATCTTGCAGCATTCTGATTGGATGCAGAAAACTGTGCTCAGTTAAATCCCCTGTTTGGCTCCGTGTTGTTAAGTAAACCTCATATCACTGCTTTGACTGCTGCACATGTGCTGCCATTGATAATCCTGGATGTAACAGCTGGGTTTCCATGCTGCCAAAATGACCTTGATAAAAAACATGAAGCCCACTGATGAACATGCCGAGACAAAAACAGTTTGAGGAAAACAACAAAAGTTCAAGTAAGGCAGGTACAGATTTTACAGATTCTAAACTTTTTTCATGGAATGAAGCGACTTTAAAGTCCACACTGATACATGAGTACTAAAATAAATATTTTTCTACAGTCATTTTCAGACCATGAAAATACTTTCTCTGAACTTAAACTAAAAGATTTACAGCCATAAATGAAATTTTCTATAAAAATGCAGGCATCCTTTCAAAGTCTGTGGTACCTTAGCTTGTAATGAAGTTATGTGAAGATGCACATTTCCCTGGTTCAAAAGAAAGAGGTGAATCACATCTAAAATTAAAAAAAACGTATTGCCCTTTAAATCTTTCTGATAATGTGCACTCTAGTTTGAGGCGTTAATTTCACGAAACCACAGGAGAATTTCTATAAAAAGCATCGCTGTAATTGAAATCGTCACAATGTCACTTGTGTCTTGAAATTTCATGCCGCAACAAAGACGCTGACCTTGCAGACTGAAACGTATGCAATGTTGCTAATATCAATATTCATACATAAAATCCATTAAGTTATGCAAGACTTGTCGAGCAGTGTCTCTTCAATGTCGACTTAATATAACTTCCATTTTTAAGGCTGTGTGAGTCTGAAGCGGACCTGACTGTGACTCACCGTGGCAACAATTCTGCGAATAGCAGCTGAGGCCATATCCTCTCCTTTAGGCTGGCCCACCAGAGTCATACCCAGGTACTTCACGTTGAACACCATCCCCTCCAGCAGGGTCTCCTTCGTGTCTGTCCAGTTCTCTGGCAGCTCTGCTTAGACAAAAGACAGCAGATCATGAAATCAACAAAATGCTCTGGTTAAGTTTGTACAATAAGAGTCAAAGGTATTCAAGACTACAAGCATCTTTTTCATATTGGGAATGGGTTCTCGCATAATGAATACAAATGTGAGAAAATTCAATAGTTTATGAAGGGTTGCCTAAATACTCTATTTATAGTTAGTGTCAGTCTTTAATGTTGGTTGAGCATACCGTTTCCAATACTCAGCACTGACTGATCCTCACAGTCTACACTATGCATAAACTTTATGAATTTAAAATGCATCTCTGATACTACTAACTGAGCCTGCCCGCGTTCACTGCTTGATAAGTAAACAGTATTGATCTCAGAAAATAAAAAATGCTACATAGGCCACAAACCCAGAATCCACTGGGCTCTGATCGACTGCACAACATGGGCATCAATATCCTGCTGGGATGTGATTTCCAACCAGTGGCACCAAGCTGTACTCTAGCTGATCACGGTGCACAGAGGAGGAGGACGACTGTGGACATGAAGAGAGCTCCAAATACCTCTAAAAAAAATGTCCATTAAAACACAACATCCTGGGACGCCGGTAACGTAGTGGTTAGTGCTTGTGCTCAATATACGGAGGCTGTGTCCTTCTAGTGGGCAGCCTGGGTTGGACTCCTTTCCCGAATGTCATTACCCAAACTCTCTGCCTGATTTCTGGTTTGAAACTAACGATGTACGGATGGACATCAGGCCACATTTCATGTGAAAATACAAGTTTCAATAACCCAAAATCAACCCAAGACAACAGCTAATATTAGCATTCAACCGCAGCTGTATTATTAATGTTTCACAGTCACAGGCATATGATAGCAAGATGAAAACTCCAAGCTAATGGCACTAGTAGCTAATCACAGTTAGAATGAGAACAAGGCAGATTGATACAGTAATGTAAAGCAACACTTACTTTAGCCAGATAATGTTTTTTTTAGTTTAAACAAATTATTGTCAAATTTGCCTCAACATTTTCACTATCCAATACATTTCAAGTAGCTGGTAAATCAAGAACTTTGAAGTCATTTTTAAACGTGGAAATAAAATGTATTTTAACAGCAATCAAACATTATGACAGCATCTGACCTTCTCATCCTTTGCATGACTTCAGAAGAAAATGGCCACTGAGTGAACATGACGGTTAGTGTTCTACTCCTTTCAGAGACAGTTCTGTTCATTACATACACACTGAAATTGAATTAGGAGGTTTAGATTGAGAAAGAGTATGGACAAAGAAGAGCATGCAGGAAGAGCGAGACACAATCAGTGTCCAATACTCTGTTCTGCAATACTGGCACCAAACTCTCCACATGGGCTGATGGAGCCATCTGTCACTGGCAGGCCCCATGCAGCTGTGAAGGCGACCAGCAGAGAACACCATCCCCTCACGACGCGTCCAACAACTCTGAATTATTAACTATCTTTAGTCAGACTGAAGGGGCTGCTTTAAAACCAATGAATATATTTGATGACATTAAATGTGACTGCTGAGGTTCATGGCGAACAGTAAGGTTTGTTCTTTCGATGTCCCGGATCAGAGCTATGTGAGGGGAAGGATTAAAAGGTGTCATTTTAAGAGTTCATTGAACCAAGACAGGTTCTCTAACGGTTTATCGATCCACGAGGAAGGAATTCATCCCCTCACTTTCCAATTTCCATGTGAGCCAGAGGTCAAGCTCAGCACACATGGTGTTAGTCTTTGGCACTGAACGCTGAAGGAACACAATCAAATAAAGGAAATGATTCCTAGACGGGGTTATACTGTTAAATGTATTTTAAGGAAATGAATGCTCCTTTATTCAAAGATTTATTTAGGAAGGACAGTGGACAGAGTCAGAAATCAGGGAGAGAGAGTGGAGAATGACGTGCGGGAAAGGAGCAGAGGTCAGATTCAAACCTGGGCCGCACTTGGAGGACTAATAGCCTCCATACAGTACACAGGGTGCGCAAACTAACCACTGCTCCACCAGCGGCCCTAGGATTTTTAATGCTCTAAACATCACAAACAGAATTTAATTCATGTCATTTGTATTGGGGTGGGATTGAGATTTTTTTGTCCAATACCACCCTATTAAAAACTGTTTGGTCTATTTTTACCTATAAAGGATGATGAAATTGGAACCTCATCACCAAAAATGACTTATAGGAGATAAAGCACCTGGTGATACAAGCCAGATTTCAGCTTTCAAAAAACCATAATGAAAAGATGGAAACTACACTAAATAAATTATATATATATATATATATATTATATAATTTTTATCCTTTTTTAAATTAACTTGGCGATAGTTGCTACTCTTAGACTAACAAGCTTACTATCAACTGCTAGGGCCAAGGAGTAGTACAGTTATATTACTACACTATTTAATCTTTTGGTATCACAGATTAGATTTGATGGTTCGTTGGAGAGCATACCATGTTTTGTGTCGTAGCCAAAATGCAATTTACAGATCATGCTGGCAATCAGAGATTAAATGTTACTTGAGGTTGTGTTACTTAAGGCTATTGGTTACATTTTACCATAACCTATAATGATAACTTAATTTACCTGGGACAACCTTTCACAAGGTGTTTTTTTTTTTTTTTTAAACATGCAAGCGGTTGACAAATTTGAAAACCAACTTGTTGAACTATAACTTTGCTAGAAAGTCTCCAACATTCATCTTCTCAGCTCACATAATTTTTTTATCATTAGCACTTTTTTTTTATTATCCTTTAAACCAACGTAAAATCAAAGACCCACTGAGATCCATTAGTGGAGGCTGTGGATCAGTGGTAGAGTCGGTGGACTCTGGGGTTTGATCCCCAATGTGTCCTTGGGCAAGACACTAAATCCCAAATTGCTCCCGCTGCTGGGTCAGTGACATGTGAATGTGTGTGAATGGATTAGTTAATACTGATGGATACTTTCCTTAGCAGCCTCTGCTGTAAGTGTGAATGTGGTGTAAAAAACATTAAGTATAGAAAAGCGCTATACAAGCTCAAGTCCACTTAACATTGTAATTAATAATTTGAGCAGTAGGTCTTCTGTTGGAGCGAAATCAAAATCACAAGAAGTGATTGGGCTTACCAAAGAGTCAACTCTCAAAATCAAAAATATAGAGCGCTCAACCCTGAACCAGTATGGTTTTGGTCATCCCAAGCTGTTGACTTGTGGTCAAGAGATTTACTGCCTGGCTGCACCCTTCAAAATGTCACAGCAGCACAAAGCTGAAGTGCTACAGTCCATATTGTGTCTTCAGCAGGCTACACACATGAATTATTAAAAGGGCTCCATGTTGATGCTGCAGGGTTTCCAATATATTATCCCCCTAAAAGAGGAGCGCTTAAATTTTTAATAAATCCTGTGTGTGTCTTCAGAGGGCTGGGACTGATAAGAGTGACAGGAACAAGCGGGGGGAGGCTAATTGGATTTTAACATGTTGAGGGAAATACTGAGGAAGAAAGAAAGTGTGCAATATGAGCTTTTATTATTAGCATCCTGTGTGTTGTGATGTGCGTTTGAGTGTGTGCCAGGGTGATCTAATTTAAAATTGCACAAAACAAGATTAGGAAGGGCCGGGCTGTGGCGGTGCACCGATGACATTTGCATCTTTATCAAACTGATGCCTGGCAACACTTTGACACACCGGCTGTTGCAGCAAGTGTTCTGATACCATTATGTTCACACAAGAGCCTCACAGTCGGGACGCACTAAAGGAACCAATGCATTGTAACAAAGGAACAGAGCAACTGAACATTTTGCTGCACTGGGCCTCTAGCAACACAAGTTATAACACCATTGCCCTGAGATGTTCAGCATTGTAAAATATTTGAAAGTCTGCTGAATGAGCATTTGATAAGTGTAGCACTTCACAGTAGCTGATCCGGGCTGTTGTAGTAAAACAAGTACCATGTGCTCTGCACGCCTTCAGCTACATGCAGCGATCACCAGCTGTCTCTTTGAGCTCCATGCTCAGTAATTGAATTTGCACTAAGATGTCAAAAACGTACCCGGTGAATTCTGCTCCAGCTGAACACCTCCATCCACTGTTAATTAATAAAGCAAACAGGAGCGGGAAGATACACAAGTAAGTCAGGGCATATGCACTGCGGGCACACATATGATTATTCCCAGGATAATTGCAGAAACTGTTTGAGTAAGTGTGAGCTTCAGGGTCAAACTGCAAAAAAAAAAAAAAAAAAAAATCCTTTTTAGAATTTGCTCAGATCAGTGAATAGGCTATTTTTATCAGGCTTCATCGGTTTCACACTCTATCTTGGTACAAATCCAATGAAATAAAAACAGCATCAATATGTCAGTATAAGGAAACATTCAGCCTGCTTTTAAGACCCAAGTGACACCCCCATCCTCCAACATCCTTCTTGATCTAATCTCTGTGTCGTACTTTTTTACTCATCCGATGGAACTTTGAATCTAGGACACCACCTTGACAGAGAAAATAGGCCGCACATTCAGGGATGATGGGCTACCATGGTGTGTGAGTGTGTGTGTGTGTGTGCGTATGTGGGTGGGGGTATATCTGCTTTTCTGATTCTGCCCTGGAGGAGGAGGAGGAGGGGGGGGGGGTGTAAAGCTAAGTCCTACCTCTCAAGCTTTTCCTCCTCTTCTTACCGTTCTCCTAATTCTATCCCTCCGCTCAACTTTCTCACCTCACTTCCTCTAGCTCGGATTGAACCCCCCCCCTCAAAAAAAAAAGAAATCCCCCTCCTCACATTTATCTTAGAGGTTGGCCAATTAAAATGGCCTGGGAATATTGAGTACCTCTCATTTCAGAGCTACAGCGCCAACTGCTCCTCAAACATTTACTGTACCACATCAACAATAGCAAAGATGGAGTCCAAAAGACTTTGTTACTAAGCAACAACAGATTCACTAACAGCTCAGCAGCAGCCAGGAGGCGGTCCCTGATAATGGCGATACTGAACACCTTGGCTAGGCATCAAAAGACGTGTACACACCA